TCTCTCTCGGTTGATTCAAAGGAAGGTCTGTTTCCTTTGAAGGATTTGTTGAGGTTCGTGTGACTCGAACTCTCAAGGTGTAACGGTTTGTTAAGCACCCGTAAGCTTAACGAGTTAGTAGTATAGCTCGAGAGAGTCTTTCGGGAGGCTGGATTAGCCACAAGTTGTGGTGAACCAGGGTAAAATTCGGTGTGCCTTTTGCTCTTCTCTTTACTTCTCTCTTAATATTTTAATTCCTGCGATTTCTCCAATCAAACGCTATTCACCCCCCCTCTAGCGTTGGTCTATTATTCTAACAATTGGTATTAGAGCCTAACTCGCGTCCAAACTTAACCGTTTGAGAGTAAAGCGATCATGGGTTCTTCTTCTAGAAATCTTTATGCAGGAATTGGAGAAGGTCAATCAACCTCTAGGCCACCGCTCTTTGATGGCACGAACTACACATATTGGAAAGAGCGGATGAGAATCTATATCCGCTCAACCAACTTTCAGTTGTGGTTGGTCATCAAGAATGGCGAGGAAACTCCAATGAAGAAGGTCGATGAAAAACTCGTCCCAAAGACCGAGGACGAATTTGATGCCGAAGACATCAAAAAAGTGGAGAACTACGCCAAGGCAATCAACATGTTGTACTGCGCGGTCAACCCAGATGATTATCGCAAGATCTCTTGCTGCACCACTGCCAAAGAAATGTGGGACAAGCTGGAGGTCACATATGAAGGTACGGACCAAGTTCGGGAAGCCAAAATTGACTTCCTAACGCAGGAGTACGAGATGTTCAGGATGAAGGAAGGCGAAAAGATCGATGACATGTTCGATCGGTTCTCGAAAATCATCAACGACCTTCACGCTCTCAAGAAGACGTACACCAACAAGTTTCTCGTGAGGAAAATCCTGCGGAGCCTCACACCCAAATGGAGATCAAAGGCTGACGCAATCTACGAATCCATCGGAGTCTCCAATGTCACCATCGACGGGCTAAGAGGTAACCTCAAAACTTATGAATCCACTATTCTAACCCCGTCTTTGGATGAACAAAAGAAGAAGGGAATAGCACTGAAAGCAACCAAGGAGACCGTGGAAGATGACTTAAGCGATGATGACAACGAGTTCGGACTCGTCATCAAGAAGTTCCACAAATTCATGAAGAAAGAATTTGAATGGAAAGGAAGAAAGCACGACGGGCCCCTAAGTGCTATGATTGTGGTGAGATAGGCCACATCAAGCCAAGGTGTCCAAAAAGCAAAGGCGGCAAGGATAAACCTGGCTTCAAAAAGCAACACGCCTACATCTCTTGGGGAGGCGACTCCGGGGATGAGTCAACGGATCAAGAAGAGGAGGAAGTCACCAACCTCTGTCTCATGGCACACGAAGATCAAACTGACGACGTTCAAGAGGTATGTACCATTTCTTCCGACTTATTCTTTTGAAGAAATGCAAGAAGCACTTCATGAGCTTTATGACGAATTTGTTAGCGTTTCTAAAACCAATAAATCATTAAAGAAACGCCTTTCAACCCTTGAAAATGATTTTGAAAAGTTGGAAAAAGATAATGAAAGGTTAAAACAAGAAAACAAATTTTATGGCAAAAGAAGCGCTGACAAACCAGAAAGTTCGTCAAGTGAATGTGAATCTTGCAAAACCTTAAAAGAAAAAGTTGCAAAACTTGAGAGTACGGTTAAGAAATTTAATACACCACACAAAGATCTTAATTTACTTCTAGACACCATGCACTTTTCTAAGGAAGGAATAGGTTTTGATAAAAATGAATCTAAGGATAAAAACATTGAGCAAACATCTAGAAAACCTCCTAAGGCTCAACATAAGAAAGTTAAAAATCAGGATAATAGAAAATCTAGTCAACCTATGGACACTAGACAACCTAGACAAAAACCTAGGAATGAAAGTGTGCATGATAGACAACCTAGGAAAAGTTATCAAAATGATTCTGTGCATAAAAATAATTTTTCAAATAGACAAAATAATTCTAGAACACCTAGAAGGGAAAATTTTCAAAAACCAATGTTTTCTCAAAACATGATGAATATGGTTAGGCCCCCTAGCAACTACTATCAACCTAGGAGGATGCACAACCCAAACGTAGTTTGCCACTATTGCAATAGGGTAGGACATATTGCTCCCGTTTGCTTTACTAGGCATAGGCATTGGGCACAAAATGAATCACACTATCACTTTTCACCTAACACTCAAGGACCCAAAAAGACTTGGGTACCTAAATCTTATTAAATCATCTTTGTAGGTATGCTTGAAGGCGTCAAGTGTACTTTGGTACCTTGATAGTGGATGTTCCAAGCATATGACCGGAGATGCATCCAAGTTCCTACAAATCAAACCCGCTAAAGGAGGAAACGTAGTCTTTGGAGACAATAGCAAAGGAAAAATAATTGGCGTCGGCTCAGTAGGTAAGTCCGAAGACTCTTCTATAGATAATGTCTTGCTTGTTAAAGGTCTTAAACACAATATCTTGAGCATAAGTCAATTATGTGACAAGGGAAACCGTGTGACCTTTGATTCAAAATCATGCACTGTAGAACGCCTTAGTGACAATAAGGTCATTCTACGTGGTGATAGAATCGATAACATTTATATGGTTAACTTAGACAAATCTCCTTCCGGCTTTGCTAAGTGCCTCATGAGTAAAGAGGAACATGAACCTTTTAAACAAATTGGTTTCACATGACTTAGTAATTGGCATCCCAAAACTTAAGTTTGAAAAAGACACCATATGTGATGCATGTCAAAAGGGGAAGCAAGTTCGGGCTTCGTTTAAATCTAAAAACGTTGTTTCAACGTCTAGACCGCTTCAACTTTTGCACATGGATCTCTTTGGTCCTTCTAGAACGAAAAGCTTTGGTGGCAATTACTTTGCGTTTGTGATTGTCGATGACTACTCTAGGTTTACATGGACCCTGTTTCTAACTCATAAAAGTGAGGCATTTCACGTTTTCAAAAATTTCTTAAAGAAAGTTCAAAATGAAAAAGAAACAACCATAGTAGCCATAAGAAGCGACCATGGGGGAGAGTTCGAACGGAATTTGTTTTCAGATTTGTGTGACGAACTTGGCATTGATCATAACTTCTCAGCCCCATGTACACCACAACAAAATGGAGTGGTGGAACGTAAAAATAGATGTCTCGAAGAGATGGCCAGAACTATGATCAATGAGGCAAAAATCCCTAAGTATTTTTGGGCGGATGCCGTGAGTACCGCGAGCTACGTGTTAAACCGAGCCGTCATTCGACCGATACTCATGAAAACGCCCTATGAACTATACAAAGGGAGAAAGCCAAACCTTTCCCATCTTCGAGTCTTTGGTTGCAAATGTTTTATTCATAACAATGGTAAAGACAATTTAGGCAAATTTGATGCTAAGTCGGATGAAGGAATTTTTCTGGGTTACTCATTACGTAGCAAGGCCTATAGAGTCTTCAATAAACGTACCTTGACTATCGAGGAGTCTCCTCACATTGTATTTTCCGAAGATAACCCTCGCTTGGCGAGAAAGGATATTTGTGATGATCATTCATTAGAGAAAATACACGTTGATGACGATGAGGAGAACACGGGAATTTACACCAACACACAGCCACAAACTGAGGAAATACCTCAAGAAGCTAACCAAGGTGATGAAGAAAGACAAGAGGAAGAAGAAGAACAAGCGGAACACGAAGAAGAAGAAGAAGCAACCAAGCTTCCTATTGCATGGAGAACAAACAAGAACCATCCGCTTGACCAGGTAATCGGTAGCATCAACCGCGGGGTAAGTACTCGTAACTCTCTTAGGGACACCGTAGGACACATGGCGTTTGTTTCTCAAATTGAACCTACAACCATTTCCGAAGCAATAAACGATGAACATTGGACCTTGGCCATGCAAGAGGAGCTAAACCAATTCAAACGAAATGACGTTTGGGAATTGGTGCCAAGACCCGATGATCGTACGGTTATTGGTACGAAATGGGTGTTCCGTAACAAACTTGATGAAAATGGAATAATCACTAGAAACAAAGCTAGGCTCGTAGCTAAAGGCTTCAATCAAGAAGAAGGCATTGATTTCGAAGAAACTTATGCACCTGTAGCACGTTTAGAAGCTATTCATTTACTTCTTGCTTTTGTTTCGTCTATGGATTTTAAACTTTATCAAATGGATGTTAAGAGTGCCTTCCTCAATGGTTTTATTCAAGAGGAAGTGTATGTTGACCAGCCCCCGTGGTTTGAGGACTTTGAGTTTCCCGATCACGTCTTCAAACTCAAGAAAGCGCTCTACGGTCTTAAACAAGCACCACGTGCTTGGTACGAACGTCTGAGTAAATTTCTTTTGGATAGTGGTTTCCAAAGGGGAAAGGTTGACACTACACTTTTCATCAAGAGTAAAAACAATAACATCCTTTTGGTTCAAGTTTATGTAGACGACATTATATTCGGTGCTACTAACGAGTCTTTGTGCAAGGAATTCTCAACGTTAATGACAAGCGAATTTGAGATGTCCATGATGGGTGAGCTTACAATCTTTTTGGGACTCCAAGTCAAGCAAATGAAAGATGGCACATTCATTTGCCAAACCAAATACTGCAAGGAGCTCCTAAAACGATTCGAAATGGAAAACGCCAAAGCAATGGCGACCCCGATGAGCACGTCCGACCACCTAGACAAAGACGAAAAAGGTAAGGAAGTAGAAGTCAAAAAGTATCGAGGTATGATCGGATCCCTTCTTTATCTTACCGCTAGTAGGCCGGATATCATGTTTAGCGTATGCCTTTGCGCAAGGTATCAATCATGCCCGAAGGAATCGCACTTAACGGTGGTGAAACGGATCACGAAATACCTTGTAGGCACGGTTAACGTTGGACTGTGGTAGCCTAAAGGCTCTTCGTGTCTTCTTGTTGGATACTCCGACTCGGACTTTGCCGGTTGCAAATTGGACCGTAAAAGTACGAGTGGGACTTGCCACCTACTTGGTAGCTCTTTAGTTTCATGGTTTAGCAAGAAACAAGTCAGTGTTGCGTTATCCACAACCAAAGCGGAATATGTAGCCGCCGGTAGTTGTTGTGCTCAAATCCTTTGGATGAAGCAACAACTCGTGGACTATGGCCTTAGTATCAGTCATGTTCCTCTTCGTTGTGACAATACTAGCGCCATTAGCTTGACGAAGAACCCCGTTCTTCATTCAAGGACGAAACACATTGACATTAGGCACTATTTCATTAGAGATCATGTTCTCAAAGGTGATGTCGAAATTGAGTTTGTTGAAACACACAACCAATTAGCCGACATTTTCACAAAACCTTTAGAGAAAGAGTCGTTCTTCCGCATTCGTAGTGAACTCGGAATCCTTGACTCCACGATGATCTAATTTGTGCATTTTATCATTCTTCTATCTTTGCTTGAATACTTACTAACTTGAGCGTCGGAGGGTTTTCTAACTCTTTTTTACAGGGACGGTTCGAAGTGAAGAATTCTGGAAATCAGGGGGAACCAGCGATGGGTAGGCCATACCATCGCTGGGAGGGAAGTTTTCTTTTTTTCAGAACCCCTCTTCCCATCGATGGGTGCCTCTTCCCATCGATGGGTAATTGCCTCTTTTTTTTAAAAAACTCTTAACGGATTTCCAGAAACACCTTACCCATCGATGGGTATTTCATCCCATCGCTGGGTGAAGGACTTTTGTTAAATTTTTCCAGAACCTCCCTACCCATCGATGGGAACTTTCTCCCATTGCTGGGTGTTTGACACTGTTTTTATAAAACGTTTTAACGAATTTGCAGTAGCCACCCTCCCATCGATGGGTGTGTTTGACCATCGATGGGAAGGCAGCCTTGTTCTCCCCTTCGCTTTCTAGTGTCGACCTTCCCATCGATGGGAAGTTCCACCCATCGCTGGGAAGCCTGCTGCAAATTCAAATTTTTTAACCGTTGGTCACCGAATTTATGGCCCAACAGTCACTTTTTTCAAATTCAAACGGTTTTCTCACCCTTTCCTATATATATCCTTCATCTCTACTCATTTTAACACACCTTTTTCACTTCAAAATCTCCTCTATTACATAATTCTTCATCATTTTGCTTCAATCATGGCCGGAGGAAAGAAGACAAAGGCTTCCAAGAAGAAGGGCAACGCCGAAGCTACGACCTCTGCGCCCCAACCGTTTCCGTACCTGGACGGATCCTTCCTGGAGTTCGGGTCGGAAGAGGAACTCACACGCTTCATCACCCACTTCGCCAAGCGCCCCATCTCTCCGCCAAGAGTGCTGCCCGAGCTATACCCTCATCAAAAGGGGTACCACGACCTCGACAATCAACTCAAAGAGTCGGGTCTGTGGTCGTTCGTCTCCAGAAGCCGTCAATCCTACAAACCCGCCTACGTCCGGGCTTTCTACTCAAATCTCCGCCGGGACGGGGACACAAATCGCAGTAGCATCAATCTCTACGACATAGAGATTGATTTGGCTACCTTCGCTCGGGTCGCAGGGCTGCCCACCCACGGTGACGACATCGCAACATATGGCGGTGATGATTGGATCCTCAACAACGAGGCGGTGGTCATCCGAGAGCTTGGAATTACCAACCTCGTCCGTCACAGCGGCGCACCAACCATTCACTCAGCCCCACCGGAGAAGCGTCTTCTACTCTACATCCTCACCCGGATTCTTCGCCCCTGGGACGGTAGCCACACGTGTCTCTTCAACGAGGATCTCAAGGCCGTTCATGCTATCACCCATGGCGCCTCGATCAATTGGGCGAAATACGTCATGATTCACATGGCGGACTGCGCCTCCATCACCAACGAGCGGAGCTTGCCATACGCCTTCCTTGTCATGGATCTCATCGTCGCCTCCAACATCCACATCGCCGGCCCGGACACGAAGATGACAAAGTTGTGGATCATCCAAGATAGCACCTTCCGGAAGAAGTCTGGAGACCAAGGCGGCGCCGGACCGAGTCGTGCCCGTGCCCGTGCCCCCGCTCCCGCCCGAGCCTCGTTGCAATCCATAGCCGATACTCTAAATCGGCTAACCCTCACAGTGGATGGCATGGGGCAGTCAATCGAGCGAATGGACTGGACGTTGCAACGCCAACACCACGACATGATGGCTTACTTCAGTGGCATCAACTACGTCCCGCCACCCTTTGACAGCACCATCCTCGGCCAGAACTATGAAGGCGAGGACGAGGAGGATGACTCCTATGCTCCGTCTTCCTCCCCCGAAGAGGCCGACTTTGAGGACGCGGTCGACGGGGATCCCATGGACGTCGAGGATGATGAGGACGACGAGAACGAAGACGATGACGCCGAGGACGAGGACGCCGCTGCCTAGACTCTTCTCTCTCTCCTTTCCCTACTTTGATTGCAATTTTTTATCTATTTCAATTCCGTTGTATTCAGCATTTTCTCATATTTTAAAGAATAAAAGTTTACTTTTAATTCCTAAAGTTCACTTTTAATTCTTTTTGTTAATGTCAAAAGGGGGAAGATATCAAGGTTATGCATAAATTGAGGGGGAATTTCTTTTCAAATAAAATGGCATCTATTAAGGGGGAACGTTTTTTTTAAGTCTCAAAGCCTTCCTTATATGCATAACCTCATCTCGTTTGCCATTATCAAAAAGGGGGAAATTGTTGAAACACGGGCATGTCACATTTTCGTACTAAAGCCGTGTTCGTTTTTTTTAACAGGTTTTGATAATGCCAAACCACCGTGATCAAGACAAACATTGAATATACAAGGCGAGGAACGAAGATAAAGAACAAGAGCTAAAAGAGACCAAGAACGAAGACCGCAGTCTTTAGTATTGTTGAGTCGGTCATAATTGTAATCAAGACCGACCCAACCCTCACGCATTGGCTCCTTAGGCTAAAACCTTTCACTGCATTTCTTACATTATAAAAATGTTTTCCAAACTTTTTTAAGTCGTTCAAAACACTTGGTGTTCGCCCAAACCAAAAACCAAGGCATCCAGCGTTCGGGTTTCAGAAACCAGCGTTCGGCTCTCGGTTATCGGCTATGGTTTTTGGCGTCCGAACCAACCAAGTGGTTTTCAACTTTTTATGATTGGTTTTCACTCTTTGACATGTTTAAACGGTTCTCCAACAAAAATACCTTGAAAACCATCTTTCGCTTTTGGTCGTTTGACAAAAATCATTCAAAACGGCATAAACTTGGCTAGCCGTGGTTTTCACTCAAATGACGTGGTTTTTAAAGTGTCTTACTTGATTTCTTAGCCAAATACATCAAATAAGTGTTTTAAACACTTGGTTTTTTATTTTGGAGAACTTTGAATTTTTCGGTCGGGTTTCACATCGGTTGGCTAGGCCGTGGTTAAGGCAAAAACCATGGGTTCTTGACTAACCACCCACCCAGCGATGGGAAGATCTTCCCATCGATGGGTAAGCGGCCCCTCAGCCAAACCAGTTTCCAGAACCATGCCAAACAGCGATGGGGAGTTCTACCCATCGCTGTTAAAGCCTTGGTGCAATATTAACACAAGGCAGAACGACCTTGCCCA